TTCGCATGACCACCCTCCTGTCCACTAACATGGAACCCACCAGAGGGTCCCTTTGAAGGAAGGTCGTCTTCCAGGATCTTCCCTGCTAGTGAACACACAAGCATCCAATAGAATATAGGGACCCCCTGACCAATCCCTGGGCCTGCGGCGCGTTGCCTTCGCCACTAAGCAGCCCCTTGAGATCTGTGCAGTGGAATTGGCGGAGCTGGGCGCCCTCTTTCAGCAGCACCAAACTCCTGCCGCTTCGACTGGGAAACCCATGGACGGAAGTCAAATTGAAGAGATGGGATGCCGGGGGTCCGAGCCAAACCATTGCTGGGAGTGTATTTGGCAAATACCGGTTCGATCCACCCCCCCCCCTCCGGGCACATGGGGAACTCATCATAATTGCAATTCACAAGTAGGAAATAAAAAGCCCTAGGTGAGCTTCGTTGAAATTTGTATCATCCGTCTGGTATAAGATATTCCTATATGCTGTCATCTGTCTTTTTTAGGCGAGCCCCAAAATGGCGGTGTGTCATAGTGGTTTCCTTCAAGACCACTACAAACAAGGCACCAACTCGAAAAAAGGAGCCGCATCCATATAATATAATTAATTGTGTATACTTGCATTAGTTCACCAGCCTGGAACGTGCTTTCTGAGAAACCGCTAGCAAGCAGGTTGATCTATCTGGGCGAACTGTAACTGTGATTCACCAAAACTAAGAAAAGGGGAAATTTCCACTAGAGGAAACGTTTCCAATAAAACAAAACGTCGGCATGGGTGAGGTCGGGTCGGTTTCTTCCCCATTGTGTTTTGCAGGGGTCTGATCTCCGGCAACAAACGCATTTAAGTTTGGAGTTGTTAGACAATTTTGATTATGAATCGGCAAGTCTGTCACAATCAAACCGTGGAACAAAGGTTGGGTGTACCGACACCAATATGAACAATCAAAAGGGGAAGCTCTTTGCAACGATATTTGTTAACGAACGACCCTTTCCAACCTTCTGCGGCAAGGTGATAGGGGGAGGTTTGCTGGGAACTTCCCACAATCCCTGCGAAACATGTGAAATCAAGCATCAAGGCTTGCTTGGTACCTTCTGGGAGGTACATTAACCCCCATGACCCCAAACATTAGGATGACAGGGAGGTCAGGGAGATTCTCCACAGAGCCCCAAATTCGACTGCGCAGAGCTCGTCTGCTGCCTTTTTCGGAACCTCCCTTGGCTGGTCTCCAACCAGTTTCAGCGTTCCTCATTCGGAGACGGAATGCCAGCCCTGGAATGGGAAAGCAACATGGGCCCAATACAATTTTTCATTCCCACACTTGGCCTGCTCATCGTGTAGACTGGGTTGTCCACAATGGGAAGGGGTGGGTGATCCCTAATCCTAATCTGCAATCCGTAGAGGGACACAACGACAACGAGGAAAATCACTATACCATCGGGTGTAATACCGTCCAAGGATCTTGAGGATTGTTGTTGAACGACCTGTACTACTAAAAAAAAAAAACGACTGGACCCAATATGTATATGTATATATATATATATATACATAAGGAGCCACACTCTTTCACCTGCCGAAACAGTCCCGCCTTGGCTTCACTCCGAAGTGTGCCGCGATCTGTTTTTTGAGATCCTCCAAATCCTTCACGTCTTGGAAGGACACCACCAGCTCGGCCCCCCCCAGCGACCGGCACCAGATCCGCTCCTCTGTGGGTCTTTTCTGGGGCCTTGGGGGGTGGGGGGGTCAAAAGTCAAAAGGAAGCCGAAGGGAAACCACAGAAACTTCGGGAGCATTCTCAAGGAGCAATTAGAAAGACAATCCTATAAATCTAGGGGTTGATTTTGATTCGTTTTAACCATCGTTCTTTTCAAAAACCGGCTGTTTCCTTTTTTAATGTTTTCCTGAAAAGAAGGATCCCTGGAAAGAATGTGGAAGGTACCCCTAGAATAAATGCAATCAAGGAAACTGGACAGGCCGACTGGACAGGCCGACTGGTTTTTCCGTAGACCCTTCTGTCAGCTTGAGGGCAACTTTCGGAAGCTCCGCCTTCCAAGGGCTAAGGTATTTTGCCCAACTTTTTGGGGTGACCCAAAAAGTGTGAGGGTCCTGCCGTTTTTGTGGGACTTCAAAGCGAAACCAAAGGGAGGGACACCACCCATTTTTTAGAAAGGTGGCCCCTGTTCGGAGACAAAATGTAGCGTGACCCCCATGGAAAAAGGTGGCTTCTTGGTATGTGGATCCCATAAGCTTGCTCTCTTTGGGTCTTGGGTTGCCACTGAGCCGATCTTGGCAAACGACGTTCCCAAAGTCGCGCTTAAACCAAAAGGGCCAGGGGTTTACATCTTCTTATTGGCTCCCCACCCCCCTCGAACACACGCGGAAAACAACGCCCGTCGCGCGAAGCTTTGATCGTCCAGGAGCTAGTCAAGTGGTCGGAAACCGCAGTCAACCCAGTAAAGCTCCGGTCAACTCCCAGTCAACCTGCAGTTTGACCCGTCTGTAACCCAGGTAACCTAACCACGGAGCAAACTGCCAGACATCGAAACGGCCGTGGCTTGCGCCTGGTCCGCCTCCAGTTGGATGATCTTTGCCAGTCCACCCTCAGCCCGGCGGAGTTGGATGGGGGAAACAAGCAGCGCTCTCAGTTTGGCGAATCCGCAAGGGAAACAAACCCTCCCCCCCAAAAAAAACACGAAAAAGTCGTGTAAAGCAAAGGCTGGCGGACAAAGAAGTTCAAGAAAGGGTGCCACTGGATCTTCAAAATCGGTCTCCCACAAACAAGCTGGGGGGGGGGTGGGGTGGGGGGGTGGGGTGGGGGGGGGGGACAAAAAACGAGGAGTGGACGGGCATCTCTCGGGTGGGTGCTCCCGTAGAGATCCCCGCCCAGCTCCACCGGCCACCGCGGATCGGGCCCTTCCTGATGTGCGGCCTTGCCGGCCTCCAGCTTCAAGGAATCGACCACCCCCCCCACAAAAAAAAAACAAGGACAAACGCACCAAAGACCAAAAGCGATGCTCACAAATGGCGGTCTGGGATTGGCAAAAAAAAAGAAGGGCCCGCAGTATTTGGACACACGTATATTATCTCCATGTCAAAGAAACAAAACAACAATGTGTCGAAATAGGCGGACCCCCCAAATGGGCCTCCAGTTGGACTTCCTCTGCAGCAACTTCCCAAAAGGGGTACACAAAAATCAAACGACCTCAGTTTGGATTCGGATCCCCCCCCCCATGCCGGGCGCCTGCGCGACGGTCACTTTTTTCCCTGCGAAGTACCGCACGGTGCCGGCGCAGAATTGGTCGGGCAGCGCTGCCCCTTCCCCTCTGACGGAGATAAAGCCACCCAGGTTCTGCAGGCCTCGCAGAACAGTCAGGTTGGATGCTGTCACAATCGTGTCCCTGTGGCTGACCACTATAAGCCCCACAAACTGGGAATGTTCAGCAAGAACTGACTGGTTTGAAATGACCCCAAAGTAAACCATCACATGCTGATATCCTGCAAGGATTCGCATTTTGACTCCATAGCCGTCGCTGATGGGGAAATCGCGCATGGAATACAAGACGCAACACTTAAGTCTGTTTGCTCCACTCAAAATCAAAACAAAACAGCACGTGCATTTGTGTGCATGTGTGTCTTCCTTTTTAACGCAACTCATGGCGGGTTCGCCTGGAACCTAAATTCACTTCCCGAGTGGGTTGAGCTTCACCGTCAAAAAGATCTTGCCAACTTGAGCGAGTCGGGAAGGAAGCAAGCCACAGGCACTGATTGTGGATGATTGTGGGCGGTACGGGGGGAAAGGAGCCTAACCTGGCCTTGTGAACATGCACAAGATTGCCCAAAACAGGCCTGCTAAAATAGGGGGTCAAAAAAAAAAAAAACTTTCCTTTTGGCGGGGGATTGAAACATAATTTCCATTTGGCACCTATCAAACTCACCTGTCATTTGGAGGGCCGCGGACAACAACACACAGCAACCCCGAGCTCTTCCGCCCACCCCCGCAGCAGGAGTTCAACGAATATCTTGTAACGCCAGCAGTGCTTCGCGACGCAGTTCACAAACAAAAGGTGAGAAACAGCAACTAAACAATACCTCAGTTGCCCAAAGGACCTAGACATGAAAGGTTCACCTTTTCGGGCCATGACCAGAACGGGCCAAACAGGGGAAACTGGTTCATTTCAGGTCGGTTCGCGTTGGGGAAGTGAGAAACTCCATTTGAACCTAACCTCTTTCGCCCATCCGGCCTGTAGATATCAACGGGGTCACTTTGGTGGTGAGGCCCTGCAGGATCAGACACAGCTCTTGTCTCACCTGAGCGCCAAGGGGCTCGGCACATTTGCTAGATCAGAGGGAGAACAAACATCCTAGCCCCCTTGAGATTTTCCAACTTGCTTGCTCTAGTTTTTGTTTTCAAGCGAAGCTATCCATTGTTGGTTTCCCAACACAGGGGTGAACAGAAAGAAGAAAACATAATCTTCCCCTGCTGTCCCTGTTGCTCACATCCTGAGTGAGTTGGCCAGGAAAAGTGCAATGAACTTGTTCTTTGCTGCTGAAATTTGAAACTGTCTTCCGAGTCCGGGAACTCGGGGAGTAAGCCGGTGGTTTTCTTAAACAATTCCAAACTTCTCACGGTCAATCCCTAAAACATCCTAATTCAAACTACTTTCCACAGCCCTGGCTTCTTGGTGTTCAGCCGTTCCCCTTAGGTTTTTTGCTTAGGGTTTTAGCTGGGGAGATCCAAGGGGGAATCGCCCAGTTTCCTTCGCCAAAGCGATGTGGACATTTCCACGCGGCGAGTGGCGCTCTGCAGCTGTAGCTGAGCCAAGGACTTGAAGAGCCTCAGGTGGAGACCCAAATTCAGAAATTTCCAAAGTGGTTGACGCTCACAACAAACCGTTGGTCTCAAGAAGAACAGCAACTGCGAACCAGGTAGACTTCTCAAGGGGAAGCTCCTGGGACAATGGCACCGCAGCTGGCCAACATGGGGCTTTTGCCTTTTGGTCAACATTCCAAGCGGCATGTTTGCGACACCCAAGCGCAAAACGGAAGTCCTTTCCAACCTTCAACAAATAGTTTCCAAAAGACACTGCACAGTCCCCCCCGCATTGCAATGTTTTATCCAGTCCATAGCCCCAGCGCATTGATTAATCTAGCGAGCATTTGACACACAGTTATGAGTGATAGGTAAGTACAAGGAATTTCACATCGGATGATACCAGGTTGTAGAACCACCTGGTCTTGTTTTGCTCTCACGGGAAGAAAGCGAACCGTGTGCTTTGCGCCGGGCGGCTCCGTAGCCTTTTCTTTGCACAGCAGCAGCGCTGGCACCAGCGATGGGGAAGCCATGCTCTCCAGAACACCCAAGCGGGTTGGCAAAATCTCCACCATCCTCGGGTGGAAACGAGCCCAATGGAAACACAAAGGGGGAAACCAAAGACCAAACATGGAGGTGTGCTTAACGAAATTCCAGCAATCCTCGGGCTGGTTGGGCAAAATCCAACCGAGCCCCAGATTCTCCCCTGGTTCCCTTGCTAAAACATAATCTTTGAGTAGGATATGTCATACGTAAATCCCTTCAAAATCCACAAAATGCCAGAGTCTGAAGATATGGCCACAAATCCTTGGAGGCTCGGTTTGATTCCACATGGCTGATGGCGTCTGATCTTGAATATCTGGTAATCGGGACCCTGCTCCATGGTATTTCCATTGCCGGGGTTCAAGGTATATGCGACATCAACAATACAAATACAAATGTCAAAAGAAAAAACCAACGTTTTCAGACTGGCACATGCATCTCAAACTACCACAGCAAGTTTGTTCAAGTTGTTGTTACATATATATATATATATATTTATATCAGTCGTAGCATAAACACTGCGGCTTACTAGTGAATCTACAAACAAATATACTACATGTACCTATGAAAGAAACTATAGAACAATACAAACAATCTCAACAACATGTAACACCAAACTTAGACATATATATTGTGAACAAAAAAACAGAGTTTTCACTTCAAATGGGGGTAGGGTTGGTGGGTTTCTTTTCGCTAAACCCCCCTTGGGGGGGAGGATGTGTTGCCAAGCGAGTGGCTTGCTGCTTTTGTTTCGAGTTACTCCCAGCGTTCCGAAGCGCGGCCCTTGCCGTTTTGGGTTGGGTGTAGGGTGGGTTTAGGTTGTTTAGGTCGCGTTTAGGCGGAGTTTTTGGACGGCTTAGGGTTAGTGTAGGGTTGGTTTAACCCGGGCCGAGGGTGAGAAAAACAAGGTTGGGGAGTGAAAAAAGCAAGCTCGCGGGTGAAAGAAACACGGTCGGTCAGTAGTGAAAAACTCGAGGCAGAGGGTGAACAAAAACAAGGTGAGGGGTTGGAAAGAAAGGATTTCTGAGGGTTAGAGAAGAAGGTTCCTGCAAATGGTTCTCGGGGGGAAAAAAGAAGGGTTAACAAAACACGTTTGCAGGGCGAAGAAAAAAGGGAGCCCGAAAACCTGCAGTGTCCAAAAGGATCAGGGCGAAGCTCACAAACGGTACAAGTTGCCAACAAACCACCTTTATATATATATATATATATTTCTATATATATATATATATATATATCCAATCCCCTGCCGCAACCTTGTGCAAAAACGTACGGAAAAAGGGCCCCTTTTCCATACATTACTTGGGGAAATCAACCCATTCAACAAGCGATTAATCGTTCACAAGCATCTGCTGGGGGTTGCGGCACATCATCAGCATAGTCTTCACGCTCATCACCATGAGCGAGAACAGCTTGCTCATAGAGCCCTTCTCTAGTCTGGCTATGCTGCAATGCGCCAGCCTCAAGTTGCAAGTGACCAAAAATGCGGAACACCAAACGGACCCCGTCTTGGGATCGTGTATTTGTAGGGAAGCCAGCCACAAAAAACGAAGGGAACCAGTCGACCTGCAGAACTGCAGAACTGGGTCCTGGAGAAAGAGGCCTTCGCAGCAGCCAGAGAGCTCAGGGCATGGGGGCGCAAGGTCTCAGAGAAGTTGCAGGGCTCCACCAGCGTCTGCACCAGGTCATCCACAATGCGCTGGCTCTTCCTGACGTCCGCGGAATTGCTGTCCAGGCGGGAGTGCAGGATGAAAATCATCTCGCAGCTGAGATTCAGCAGGAGCCATGGGGCCGCCAAGAGGACAGCCTCAGCCCGCGCCTCGCCGTCCATGGGGCTCGATCATAGCCCTCCCTCCTTGTCTCTAGCCAAAACCCTGTGACCTGACACAGGCGAATCCGGGCATGCTTATTCTGAAGCCTAAATTCAGGAATCAACCAGTGTGTGTGTGTGTGTCTTTTTGTAAGCACCAGGGTGTGTCTTTTTGTAGGGGGTCCCCTCAAAATGGTGGTTTGTGTGTTTCACTTTAAACCAAACCCGCAAAGGGTACCCTCAAAAACCTTTCCACACCAGGGGCCTTCGTCAAGGTGAGCTTGAGGCCTCAGTAAGCTCGTCAGATGTTTTGCCGACTTTTATATTATTTCGGCATGAATTTTATATTATTTGGACCCGAAGTGGTGGACATCAGAATTCGGCGGGGCTTATGTCCACCAACCACTTTCCAGGGGTTCCTTATTTAAATTGGACATAATTGCCTACATCTCTGCCATGGCCCAAGTTATAGATCTGAGCAGCCGATACAACCGTTGCAAAACCATCCTAACTGCAAGTGTTTACAGGTGTCCAAGCTGTCCAAGCACCGGCACCTGTATACGAGCAGTTGGCAATGTGATCACCAAAGCCCAGGGAGCACTAACCGACTAACTGATACACCTGCTAAACCGATCGCTCACCTAAAACCGATACCCCGCCCACATTGCCACATTCGCTCTCCCGAGTGGGCCGTGCAACATGTTGGTCATATGTGTTCGGCGCAGGGCATTCAACGGGATTCAATACCGACCGAAAGGATGCGTGCAACATTGCAAGCAAGCCAACCACGATCTGGGCTTGTGACAGGGCATGGCCGTGTGTCAAACCTGAACTACCCGCTCAAAAATCATGCTATAATTATTCGCTAGTGCCCATTAGGGTGTCAAGCCCCATTTAGTCAAGCCCCCACGGGCCCGGCACATTTGAAAAGCTTCCAGATTCCAGAGTGACGTTGCCAAAAAGTCCGAACTGTTCGCTGCAACAAAAGTGTCGGGCAGTGTTTCCTCTCAAGTCAACCCACCCCAAAAGGGCACCAACTCCAAAAAACGAATCACGCCAGGGTCAAATCACCCCCAATCACCAAACCCAAGCAACAGGGGCGGTTTACACACATATTACCCAACCCCCATCACCATGGCTGTGGAACAACATCCTGTCTGTGATACCAACATGAGTCCCTCCCACTTCTTTATCACAGGGATTTCCCGGTATCACTGAAAGTGGCAAAACCTGATTTGCTACAAGCACCGGTCGAATCTGAACGACCCCATCAAACCTCTCTCCTCCACCAGGATCTGGCTCACACCGAGCCAATCCGCCTGAACGGTGAGATGACAATAAATCCAAGAGAGGATGGATGGAGGCCGGCTAGCTAGCTGGCCGGAGATTCCAATGGACGGATGGGTGGCCGTGGGTAGCTGGGTGGGAGCTTCCTAAAGCTCTCAACCAAGACAAGGGAGCGCCACTAGGCAACTGGACAAGGAAGTCAGAATCAAAATCTGGCGGGGAGCCACCGAAAACTTTGTACAGCATCAAAGGTGGAAAGCTATCTGCATCTAATCTATGTCGGGCTCGGAAGTCCCCTCCCTATTCTCCGATTGCCCCTGCTGCGATTCAAACATGTAATACCATTCGGACCAATAGGGACGCAACCAAGGCCACGTCTTTGGACAGTTGGCTTGCTCAAGGGAAACCCCATCAAGAGAAAAAACACAGGACACATGGCACCACTGGACGCAGGGGCACATCTTAAGCCAGGAGCGTGACTCAAGTGCCAAAGCTTCGCTCAATCAAAGGCTCAGAAAGGGCTCCAAAGGTGCTGGTCGCACGTCCAAATGCGCCTGTTGACCCCCTGGTTGAAAACTTAGATTTCTCATTGGCCTGTTTGCTCTTTGTAGTAACTAATAATGGCCGTGCCTGCTGGCTGTTGCTCAGCCAGTTGTGGTTGAATAGAGTGTCATCCTTTTGCTTTTGTTTCTGGGACAAGTTTGCCAAAGGATTCAAACAGCGGAATCAACTGCTCCTTGGATCTCCTGAATCTTGTCTAAACCACGTCTCCAGCAAAATTGGCCCTGCGGATGTAAACAAACGGATGTGAACAACTGGATGTTTAGTTGAATGAAAACGCCATTCAAAACCACAAGAACCTTCCAGCCACTCGACTTCTAAGCCGCATCGGGACCTGGGATTTGCACTACCCCGAAACCACTACGAAAGGGAAAAAGGGTACATAAAATCACCATGCAGCCACCTATGAAAGGGCTCCATGCCATTTTTCCCTTGAGAGTGCAAGGGCTTGAACAATTAGAGTTGTCAGGGCAGTTTGCACCCAAATTGCCTCGTGATGGTTTGTTTGCAATTGTTTAGCCCTGGTGCTTTGGGTGGGGGGTATCGCAACAACAGCTACATGAAACCCCAATGGTCCACTTTCCTAGTTGAAATCTCATGGGTTTCTCATAAGGGACCGACAAACAAAAAAATGCGCGGCGTCCTTGTGGCTTCCCTAAACCAACCCAAAAAGCTAGCCTCAAACAAAACCATCACCCCCAGTCCCTGCCTTCTCGCCGAGCCAGCCATGCAAGAGCACCACCGGCCCCGTCGAAAGCGCCTGCGTGGAGATGACACTACCAAGCGGGGTTCGCTTGAACACACTGACACAAACCCATGCTCATCCCAAACCATCTGCCAATTGGAAACCAAGCGGAATCCCGTACGTTCATAAGCTTCTAGCCCTACTTGCCCAGGTGCCTGGGTTCGGTCCATAGAAGAATAGAAAAAAATGATCCCATTTAATTGTGGTCCTCTTAGGGACACTCAACAACACATTCACGCTCAACAAAAGAAGCACCCCAAAAAAAAAAAACATCACACGGTGAACATTGGCCCATCTCTTGTTGCGCCTCTTTGGAGAAGAACACTTTTGGATTACAAAAACAGGAACCAATGACTGCAATATGCACTCGCAAAGTCGGCGAGTTGCCCTGAAAGGGTAGTGATGTCATATTGGTCTCGAAATCGAAAACTATTTGAAGTGTGTAAAGGGAAAGCGACAAGATACCATTGTGGGGGGGTCCTATCTTATGAACAAGAGTAGAACACCAACTGACTTGGGGTTAGGGGGGCTGGTCATCAACCCCTTCATAGGAATATGTTCAACCATTTTCATTTTTCACATGGTTCCATGGTTCCCATTGAGGGAACCCAGACCGTCGCTCATATAAGCCTAAGCCAAGCTCAAATTTCATGTTTTGTTCAAGAGGACATGGGGGAATTAGTGAGTCGGTTTCGCCCAAACAGACTGTAGACAAATCCAAATATTTTGACGCAACGTCAAATGGAGCGCCCATGGCTGTCCATGCCCCGGATCAAGGGCCCCAACCGAATTCGGCAGCTCAGGCGCAATCTGCAGTGGATCGATCTGTGTGAATTCGAATAGCTCACCAAGCCAACAAAAGGGAAACCTCGAGTCAATGTCAACGAATCTTGCGTAAGGTCGAAAAGCAAATTTGCTCAGGCCCATGTCCTCAATGAGCTTTATGGCTGTACGCAAGCCCGCACGGCATCGCAAGGTACCAAAGATCTTGGCAAATTGCTACAGTTCGTAAACTGGATAAAAAGGGAATCCCCAAAGGGACCTTCATCATAGGTAGAAACGCGATGGGCTGGCCTGAGCTTGTTTTACCCCAAATCGGTGAGGTTTTTGCGCGTTTTTGGCGTGCCTCGGAGGGTGAGGAGTATGTCCAGGAGAGATTCACCTCACGGAAACGTCCGAAACACTTCTGCCTCAGCTGTTGCCCAACCAACAAAACGTATGTTTGATTATGGCCCATGTTCAGCGAGCCTTCAAATGCCAACATAATAATTGGTTGCAACAAAATGGAACGTGGTCTCACGCAATGACCTGCAACCAATTGATCGCCTGACCAAAATGCCCCAAACGACCAAACGGAATGAACATGGTTGCAACAACAAGCATGGTGTGTCCCACGCGACGTTCGCGTGTAACAGAAGCCCTGATCCGAACGCCGCTTGAAAACGCCCACTTCCGAGCGGATGGCTCGCTTGGTGTCCCAAAGGACGTTCTAAGGGATCGGGAACATGGCTTGGAGCAGAATGGGTTTCATTCGAATAAGATTGTACGGAATGAGAACCAAATAACGACATGACAAAACACTGCGTGAACTAGTCAGGGCTACTCCAAAGACCCTAAACACCCTGGCGCTATGGCTGTGCTCAAAAATATGTACCAAAATGGAACCTTGGGAAATGGAGCCAAAGACTACAACCTGCGGTTTGCCCTAGCCCTCTAATTTTGAGCCACACCCATATTTCTGTAGGGCAAACATCTGTCACCTCCACACCTTCCGTGCCTGCGAGAGGAGCTCCTTCCGTACAGCGCAGGCCACCTCCTTCACGCGGCTCAGGGGAATGCTCCACACATCGAATTTGTCTCTAACTTGGGGAGCAAGCAAGAATGGGTTGCTTTCCTTTGGTTTTTTACCGTTAGATCCACCCCACAAGGGGACCATTTGCGTGTGTCCTGTTTTAGGGGAACCGCAAATGGTGATATCTTCCTGTTGGCTTTCGGGGACTTGGGGAGCATTGTGTGACGACCACTTGAGTTGCAATCACAGCTTGGTACTCGGGATCAAAAGGGCAGAAAGCTTTCCGCCTCTAAAGGCAAGGGGGCGCTGTTTCTCGTGCCGCTAAACTTTTGCACCTATTCCGCTGTGTAGGACCAACTCCTCAAACAGACCAACTCATCTTGGAGGGGTGCGATCTGGGTAAAACTATTTTTCTTCCGCTTGTCGACTCTCTGCTCCAAGTGCGGCAAAACGCGCCTGCCCGACGCGCTTGTGCAGGGCCACATTTTCCTGGCAAGCACTTTTGCTTAGCCCTTCGCACCAAACACAGATGAGCACTACCCAGACGCTCCAAGTGCTTACCCGCTGAGGATGGCTGGTGGGGGTGATAAAAGGGGCTTAAAGTACCTCCCCAGAAAATACCAAGGGACCCTCAGGGTTAACTTCTTTTTCTCCTTTTGGTTGGACATGATCCAACCTTCCGGCCCTT